GATACCAAGTTACTACTTTTCAATAATCTGTTTACGATATGAGATCTGGATTACAGTTACATTAATTCATGCCAGCTAGTTCAGCCAACGAACCTGGCTATGAAGAAAACAATAAGGAATGAGGAAGACTGCAATTTTACAATATGAGGTCCGGATTACAGTTACATTAATTCATGTCAGCTAGTTCAACCAACGAACCTGGCTATGAGGAAAACAATAAGGAATGAGGAAGACTGCAAACATGACATTTATTATCTAGTCCCATCTTGTTCAGTGTTTTCAATGTCATTAATCATAGATTAGTTCACCAGTGTGGTCTCTGTAATTAAGAGAGTAACATTATTTTGTGCCACTTAATACAGATATTTGAGAGCAGTGTAACAGCTCGTGGGAATCTCTTGGAATCTTACCCATCTTTTGCCCAATAAAGCTTGGAAACAGTGGTAAAAGGCAACAAAAACATTTGCCAAAGGATCTAATGCTCTGACCAAATGGGCAAACAGTAGTAGGTCTGTTCGGGGAAAAAGGTACTCCATTGAGATGCAATGGATGAAACACTGAACTCACTTGCCTTTTTGCCTGTCTCTGCCATGAAAGTCAGAGTATTGTATGTAGTGAATGACCATAAAATGAAATAAAAGATAAGGGGGAAAAAAAAAAGACAAAGCCAAACTCTTCTATCCACCTACGACATTGTACAAAATGAAAAGCAGTCACGGAATCATTAAATAAGAGGAGTTCACTTTGTTTAGGATTCATGCCTCCTAGTGAACTGTGAACTTAACTTACAGCTGGGAGTGATACAAAGCATCTCTCCCATGTGAGGTTGTGTCCAGCAGCAGTCAAGGTTGGGTTACTGCAGTCTTACCCTTATTTGCGACATTTCAACAGAGCAAGAAAGCCCCTCTCCCCCTCTAAAATACTTTGCAGCTGAGGTGCCTTGTTATCTGGCCCTGCCAAAATTGACCAAAATAAATTTTGGAGGTGATAGCACAGGGGGAATAGCAGCAGAGTCATTGTAACTACATAAATGTGATTTCCTTAGGAAACTCTGCTGAACAATAGATCAGGTCTTTCAAAAGATTTGGGCTGAATGTTGTTTACGGAGTGCTTTCATGTGACAGATGTCTGTTTTGATGAGGATAATCTGAGCACACTGGAGCTAAGACAGATGTTCAGTCAATATGTATACTGCTGGGTGATGAGTGGCAACTTTCTCTTTATGGTTAGTAATTTGTGATTTTTTTGCTAACGAATGCCCAGGTTTGTCATTTTGGGCAGTCTAACAACTCTACAGATGAAACTGAAGTAGAAATGCTACTTTAGTGGTGGTAACAGCATGATCACCTTAAACGCCGGTATACTTTACAGTGTTGTATTTTTTTTTTCCCCTTTTCTTTCTTTTTTCTTCCTATCCTGTGCTTTGTAAATGTCTTTGTATTCCTTTCCTCTGGAGTAGGGTATAACATTAGAGGCAGAGGCATTTTAGGTACAGTGCATAAAAATGTTGGTGGTTCAAAACCAGAATCTACAAGGATTACTTCTCTGCACGGGGAGCTGTCTAGGGCACGGCTACAGGATTCTGCGCACGTCTAGGTCTCAGGCATCTTGCACAAAGTTAACAGAGTGCGACCTGCATTTATGTGGTCTCATAACAGCAAGGGATCTTTCATTCAGAGACAAACATGATGTTGTACGGTTTTTATTCCTTTTAGAGAAAGCTTGTGGTGGACAGAGCCCAAACGTAGGAAACCTACACTAAATCCTTTCTTACGGAGGAGAGATTGCAGCCTGTGTTTTGCTTGACAGTGCTAACATCTACAGGGCTATTGGCTGTAGAGCTACAGAGTAACACCATATACAAATCTTTCCTTCTCCACACGAAGACAAACTGCTTAGAAAACAGAAACAACTAAAAGCATCCTATATCATATTGTCCTTGGAAGTGAGAAAGTGATTCAAACTATCGTATTCAACCTCAACACCACACAGAAAAGCTGGGCTCAATTCCCTGCTTCAAATACTAAGTCTTTAAATCAACAGAGGTGGCATCAGGTATTTATTATGGCATTTCTTAGCTTTTTAGATGCCTGTCTTTTTCAGTTGTGAATATTCTTTTGAATTACATATGGTTTATATGTGTAGCACTGCTGGAAGTGCACAGTAGAGTAGTGCTAAGACTTTGTAATGTGCTAAAGCTCATATAATCAGGTTGTTTTCTTTACCTCTGCAAACATAAAATTGAAATAAAAACTGAATGTTAAAGAACAGTTTATTTCTTATGTTTCTAACAACTCTTCTATTCCACTCAAAAGGCCAAACATAGGAAAACAGCTAGTGCCAGTTATTATTCTTTTCCCCTATTTTAAAGACTTCAACATGATGTTATTCCTAATATTAGACATTTATTCTTTATTCAAGATGAACTAATGTATATATATCTGACAATATAGTTATGCCAACTGATTACATGTTATATTAAAAAAATACACAAGCTTTACTTTTGATCAGCAACAAATTACCACAGACATTTAAATGTCCTAATTTGCTATTTGCCATTTCCAGTGCCTGAACAGTTCTGGAATTGTTATTTGTCATGAATATAATAAAATAATTCCCATATACTGATAAATAATTGACCTTTCTCGTCCAAATGGCATTGTTTCTGTCTTGACAAATTCACTTTACAGGAAAACTTTCCTGATAAAATATACAAAGCTGAAATAATAGTTTGTTTCTCAGAACCTAAAGTCATTCACATTTTTATACATAGACTGCTACTGCTATGGCTGTAGCTGTTGTGGAAGGAAAAGCTCCTGTGACTATATATAAAGAAATGGCAGAGTTTTCTTCCTGACCAAATCCCATTTTAAATGATGAATGTGGGCAGTCTGTTTTATAGTTATATATGTCTACTTTTCACAGAAATCACTCAGAGCTATATGAATTTTTATGAACTCATAAAACTTTAGTATCAGTTGAGTGAAGTGAAGGATATGCAAAAATTTAGGAAGTGAAAATGAATGATGGTATCTCCAGAACTAACCTCTGAAATTCCAATTGAATTGCAGTATTCCATTCTTTGGGAAAAAAGAGTAGGCTTTTAAGCAACATAAAAAACCAGGGAGCTTGAACTTACAGCTCATTTTCATGAACAGAAAAAAGAAATCGCATAAAGTAGTAGTAAAAGAAACTAAATGTGCTTTAAAATACTTACACTGCCTAATATTTTCCTCTTAGAGATGATAAAAGTCATAGAAGATAAAACTGAATTGAAGAGAGGCTTACTGTTAACTTAAGAATACAAAGCAATTCAACAAGACAGCTAATGACACAACCCAAAATTTTATACCTTAAATACAATGAAAGGGCTAAAGACTGAGTTTTTACCTGCATGTCTGGTGATGGAACCTTTTCCCTTTTAAGAAGCATTTATTGGGAGATTCTATACATTCACAGATGCATTTTGCAGGATTCAGTGGCTGATGTTTAGGACAGGTCTTTTTACATACACACTGGCACTTATCCTCATCAAATTCCTTGTTGGGCCCACAGGATGTAGGGAGAAGTTTGTTTTTGCACATGCACTGACATGATGATCTGTCTAATTCTTTGTGAGGTGCACAGCTTGAGGGCTGTATGCCTCCTTTGCAGACACATTGACAGGTTTCTTCATCCAGCTCTTTGTTCGGTCCACAAATATGGAACCCTTCAGATGTGTCTAGAAATACAGCAGAGAAGTTGCACAATTAATCAGAATTTTGTGTCTACCCATTCACCTATTTTTAAGTGAAGAAATGATGACAAATCTGTATCTTTTAAGGTGTTTTAAGAACAAGCGTATGTCAAAAGGCAGGCAACAACCAGTAATGATAAAGAAAAAGATTCAACTACTTACTTTTAATGTTTTCAATTTCTCCTAATTTACCTCCTGATTAATTTCTCTAATTCATTTCATTAATTTAATTACTAATTTCTCCTGATTTACCTAATAAATCAAAACATGGAACTATTTTTAATCTTTTAAGCAAAACTGCTTACCAGAATCTCCAAGGTGAGAAGAGAAACCAAAATCGTGCTGTGTCAAACATCTGCAAATTTGATTATTCCAAATATGATTTTTTGGACAGGTCTTGTTTGCCACATGACACCTGTGGAATGAAATATACTGTTGATTTACTACCATAAGAACTCGAGAAAACAAAACATAACAAAATGAGTTTAGGTGCTGATCGCTTTTGTTTCCCTCCATTACAAAAACCTCTCTAAGAGCTTGAGGTCATTCATAATCTTATTTTTAACTCCTATCAAATCTGTTACTAATTAAGGTTCTCCCCACTACAGGAATTGTCAACTGTTTGTTGAAGACACCTTCTTACATTTCAAATTTTAGCTCTAACTTCTAGAAGCTGATATTTGTACTTTCCTAATGTAGTTTGGAAACAGATCTAACCCTTGAATGTAAGCCTCACATAGAAAATAGACCAGTATAAAAAATATTTGCGTGCCAAATACCACATAGGTGGTAACAGGCATAATATTCCACATTGTTTTTTTAAGCACAAAAATGTTTTCACACATAGAGATGTCAAAAGATAGCTGATAAAAAGTTTCAGAATAAATGCTGTAGACAAAACTCTAATTTCTAAAATGAAATCAGCTTCTTGGATTCCTTTCCCCTTTACGTGAAAGTTAGATATGATTAACTGACTTTTTCTCATCAGTCACTCAAATCCTGGATAGCTTTCTTGCATCTAAAGATTTAGACTTCAGAGTGATACCTCTTCACTTTAGGAATGAAAGACAAAAAACAATTTAACAGTTTAGTTAAACAGGTTAGCTCTTTACCTACTAGAGTTTTGCAGCCAAGGTAGTGGTACCAAAGAAAGCAAAAAATCCTAACAGCAGCTGTTGCCTTTTTAAAGAATGACTGAGCTTAGCTAGTAGGTGCACCACAGATAGAATATTTATGTGTATTATCTCATCTTCCTTGCTTGCAATTTCTTTATCACCACAGGTGACATTACAACTTTTAATAAGGCATGCCTAACTTCATGCATCCAGGCTGTGTCATTTATTCATTGCTTCTGTAGTATTTCTAAAATCCTCATCTGTTAAGGCAGCACATACATTACACATTTTAAGTACTTTTCATTCCCCTGAGCACCATTAGTCATGCATTCAAAAATGCAGGTGCTGAGAAATTCTTCTGCAATCATCATTCAATTATACCACTCCTCTTCACCACATTAAACGACTCTTTGCTTGTAAAGACTGCTGCAGTTTAACATCACCCTGCATCGCCTCATGTTTTATCAAGCTGGTGTTTCCTGATTTTATTTCACTAATGATCTCACTCTTGCTCCCTCGCTTGGCATGTACGTCCTTTTGCCTGCCTACTGAGAAATAGTACGGATAATTTACGGATGTAGTATTGTATTCTGGTTTTTTTAAAAAAAAACCAACCAACTCCTACCTGGAGCAGCCTGGCTTTAGCCGGGAGCGTTTAAAACTAACTAAGAAGAAAGTCAGGGTGACAGTATGAAGAAAACACCAAGTGCACATGAACCCAGGAGAAATCAATGTTGATACAAACCCCAAGTTATCAGAACTTGAAGAGAGCCCTATGTATTTCAACATCAGTGTTGGAGACACAAAAAGGAATTTGAACTGCTTGTTTACAAATTGTACTTTGGTTGCTAGTACAGAAAATCATGGGGGGATATGTGTGAAATTTTAAAATGACTTATTGCAACATTTTAGGAAAGTTCGGAAAGGTTAGAAAAAAGTATCAGCGGGAAAACCGCTTCACAGAAAATTCCACTACCTCTTTCCAAATCAGTGTCAACTCAACAAAAAAAAAAAAAAAAAAAAAAACAACATCATGCCATTTGTTACCTGTCGGTGTCAGGACAGATAATTCAGAAGAGGGGGAAGCATTTCATATGTACAACATACATCCAAACCACATCTAAAATATGCTTATCAGCTCTGTAAGTGCCTACCTACAAACCATGGGAAAAAAAGGTCACCATAGAGATTTGATCTGAATTATATATATTGAAGACCCCTCTGCTCCCCCTATCACAAACTGCTAAACTTCTAAAACAGAGTGACAATTTTCTAACTCAGTTGCACGTCTTGATGATGTTCTATATAAATAGAGAAGAGCACAACTTAAGATATCATTAATCCAGAAGTTATTCTGAAACCGTGGTTAACATGAACTGACATGCCTCAGCTCTGCAAGTATGTAGAAGTAGCTACTACTTTTTAGAAGGGAAAAAAGGAAAAAAGTGAGAGAACAGGCAAAGACCTAGACCTTAATTCTCAGGATAAAGTTAAGCAGAAAATATATTTTATATAAAAAATGATCGACTATTTGTATTCTATTTTACATGTAATTTCTCTCTTCTTTTTAACATATGCCTGTGCATCATGGTGTAATCCAGCCTTGAATCTTATTGGATCCCAAATGTTACTACCCTAAACCCAGGGATTATACTCTTAGGCTTTTCTTTTCAGTAATACATAAGAAAGTCATTACTATATTTCTGTTACAATGAGCATGCACATAAATACATGCACACACGCAGATCTGCCACTGTGACAAGAAAGTACATTTCCAAGTTTTGGCTTTACAACAGTTTCACTAGCATTCAAACCTATAAATAAAAATGTAAAGGAAAAATAAGTTGAAAAGACATTGAGAACTTTAGTACAAATTAAAAAAGCATAGTGGGATTCTGAAAAGCATCCAAGCACCCCATCAGGAATATGCAAATATCTTTCCTTTCCTTTCTAGAATCTAGAAGCACTCAGCTTGGGTCTTGTTTTCTTGTTTTTTGTGTTTTTTGGTTTGGTTTGGTTTGGGTTTTTTTTGTTGGTTTTTTTTTTTTTTTTTTTTTTTTTTTTTTTTTTTGTTTTTTTTTTTTTTTTTTTTTTTTTTTGTTTGTTTGTTTGGTTTTGTTTTTGTTTTCTATTTTATTGTAAAAAGCCTTAGATTTTAAACTTATTGACAGTATTTAACAGTAGAGAAGGCCTGTGTATATTTTGATCTAGTACTACTCTGTCTTACCTTTGTTGAAGTGCAATTCCTCACTCACAGGACAGCTAGCTACCTGTGAGTGCTGGTCAAAATCTTGTATCTGAACGCCTACTTCCCTCTAACTACAGGTAGCTGTTTCCTGGATAGAATAAACTCTTGCACTGGTAATTACAACTGGTCTTAACCTTGAAGCACTGAGAAGTTGCATAATTTGACTTTATTATTGACTGTAGGGGTTTGATTTTTTTATACTGTGTTAATTATGCAATTAATTAAACTATTAATAGATTTATTTCCTAACATTTTTTTAATCCACTGTTTATGATCCATGTTTTGATGAACAAATTCAATAATTTGAATTCAAATAGAATATACTCTCTGTTTAGCTGGAACATGTTAGAAAACATCCAGACTTTAACTGAATGAAAACACAGAGAAAATGACGCAGCTTACATCTCTAGGTATTTTGTATTATTCACTTGCCTTATTAAAAATGTCTACAAATAATTCCAGTTCAGCTTCTAGTCATTGATGCTTCCATAAAGCAACTGTTAGTCTGTTACATATTTTTGGCCTCCTAAATATTTATACATCATGAAATCATCACTCAGTCCTCTAAAATGAAGGGAAGGAGTTCTTTGAGTGTTTTAATAACACTTGCTTCAGTGCTAGATTTCTTGTGTGACTTTTTTAATTCAAAATTGCCAAACAAATCAATACGTTAATTCTGTGGACTGTCAATTAACCCTTTATTTTCCCTTCCCATCCTGTTTTATTTTCACCTCTGTCATATGAAGGTGTTCAAAAAGATTTGTAAAGACTCCCTAAAACCAGGCCTTTTAAAAAGTGTTTTAAAAGGGGAAATGCAGTTTGAGAGACAAATGCTGTCTACTCCTTACTTGCAAAAGTAAGCATTTTTAACTTTTCTTCATTACTTTTTTTTTTAAAGAAGATGATTTTGTTGATGTTTGCTTTAAGCCTTAATTACATTGTAGCTCTTTCCATGAAACAAACCCCACAAACAACATTACTCTCAATTTTTAAATAATCTAGCCCTAGTTTATCCACCGGGTAAAAAGGTAATGTTACTTTAGTAACATTCTCTTCATGTAAAACAATATTAGGTCCTTTGCAAAATGCATTCTGCTACTACTACCGTGTACTTCGCCTAGTTAAGTTCACTTATCTTGATTGTGAAAGCTTCCAGCAACATTTTAAATCTAATTATATAGGCTTGCTCATAATGTGAAAGGAAAGACAAGTCTCATACTTACTGAGTTTGTGTTGCTGGCAAGGAACGTCTTATGATAGAATGAACTTGTCTGTAAACATCCAACTTTGACATGCATCGGCAGGACGTGTGATTGGCAAAACTGACGGTTACAGGTTTGGGACCATGAGAAAGAGGCACTGTGATCTCAAACAACTACAAAAGGGAGAGCAAAGAAAAGAATTTTTTTATAGCTCATTAACAGTACAACTGAAATTATATAAGGACATACAAAAAAGCTATAAGGAGTTTATGTTTTTGTTCTCTACCATCATTCAGTGGCATATCCAATTATACCACTAAATAATCATCATGTGCAAAATGAATACGATAGCTATGGTATGACAATTAACATTTTTAATGTTAAACCCTGTTACATGCCTGTTTGCTTACTATAACATTTAAACTAACATTAAAAGAGGGAAATGTACAAAGAACTCATTTTTCTGGAGTAAATGACTTCAAATTGGCAGCCTTTTAAAAAAATCTAAAACAACGTTTGGAAGGTGCCTCAAACAGTTGAAAAACAAGAATAATTTAAAAACAGAGTAAGCTACAACCTAATACATGAGTTGCACAATTGCAAAAGTTTGTGTAAAACAGCAAATCAACTCTGATAGATAGTATCTATTTTACAAAACAAATTTTGACATCTTTTAGTGACTGGATCACTAAAAAGAATTAATATTGGGAGTGTTATCATACAAGAAATGAAATGGCAAAATTATTATATTTACATATTTATTCTGTTACAGCAGATTACAATGCTGTTATTTTTGCTGCAAAAAGTACCACATCCCTTATATTTGTTTTAAATGTGGGGTTTGTTCCCCACTAGAAGCTAAAAATGCAAACTGGTATATGTTTACACTTATGTAGAATGAAAATCAAAACAGAAAATAGTTTCTTGCATCTTTCAAATACTGATGAAAAAAACTATCCATCTAGGGAGCTACCAGGAAAAGAGTTTCTCTTGTTAGAGAGACTTCTAGCCAAAGCACATTAACACTTGGAATCTTGCTCCAGCTGCAGAATAAATAACATTTAAAATTTTGGTCTTGAGTCATTAATAAGATAAGGCCACAAGTCCATGTCTAGTTTATTTGGTACCAATAAAATGAATGCCTAACTATCACCAGACTCCACAGTTTTCACTAAGTTCAACACAGATTTCTGGAAAGTGACTTTCTAATCAACCTTTTATTACAGTTATAATCCTTTTTGGCTTCCAGACCAATATTGGCTCCTTTACCCTTAGCTATTATAAAAGTTCCTTTAAATTAATCACAAAAGGCATCTTACCAAGATGCCTCATCCAAAAAGAGCAATAATCATAACACAGAGCTATAATTTTCATACTAATATGTTATATGAAAACAGCTTTATGTACTTACTAATTTCTTTTAAAAATATCCACCTATTTGAAGGCCATCATAGGTTTTGTTATAATGTGTCTGTGTTATAAGTTAGTCTGTGGAAATTGGAGAGGAGGAAGGTGGTGGTGTAGATAAAGAGACAGAAAGGACCATGTTTATAAAAAGTAGCTTTCATTTTGGCATACAGTACACATTTGAGAAAATACACACTGAGTTCTTTGGGTATCTGTTATTTAACTACTGATCTTTAATTAGGTGACAAAACTCATCTACATATGCAAGACATCTTTTTTTAAACAAGCTGTGCTTTCACAAGGACAGCACAACTGTTAAGACCTCTGAAAAATCTGGACAGCTAAGAGTCTACAGATACACAAGCCTTTACTCTACTAAATATATTGTAAGAAAACTGATTCTTAAAAGACATATATGAATTGAGGGGCAGAACAAAGAGTATGGACTTAATTACAATATTACGTATGCAAAGAGAATCTTCTTTTCTCTGTTCTCTTATGACAGTATGAACTCACTTTTCCAAAGCTGAAGTAAAAACCCTCTACAGGGAGAACTGATAAAACTTAGAAGCTGAAGTGTGATCCTTTGCATGGACCAAACTGCAGCTGACTATAAAAAAGGGTATGTTCTGCTCTTCCTCTGTTCTCGGGGCAGATCAGTTTGCCGTGCTGTAAAGCATAGCAGACTTGAGACTGCTGGAGATGGCAGTGTAGGACTATTGCTACAGTTCCAAACCACCTAAAAGAGGTCCCTATCAGTCCAACTGTCCTCCTGTTTGGCCTCAGGAGAGCAATGAGAGAAATCTCACTAAAACACATGAAACCTATCAATTATGAGTGGAAATGATAGTGAATATGAATTATCTTAATCTACATTTATCCTTCCATTTAAGCTGTGACAGATAGCAGTTTAGAGATGAATATTGCTAAGAACAGTTCCCATCAACACGGTGTAATGTAAAAAAAGCCTAGTTAAACAATGTAGACTAGCTTCTCTGACCTCATTGAATTACCTTCAGTTTGTTCAACTAAATTCTCTTAATAGCAATGTATTTTACATCACTCAATAGTAGCTACTGTTTATACATAGAGTCAAAAAAACTAAGCCAAGTATTTATGTTAGGGATTATATTATATTATATTTGTTATTACATTTCTAGCCCTCACTTTTGGAAAGTGCTTAAGATGATACATGAACTAGCATTTTGAAAAAGAATATAAACCAGATTTATTTTCATTAATGGAAATGATGGAAGTGAAATACTGGGGTTGGAATTATTGATTTGTTCTTTCTACACTTTTGTCTGCACATACTATTAGGATACTATATTCTGATGCATACTGAAAAAGGAGATATTGATTCTTCTCTTCTGATACTGAAAATATATCAAGAAGGGATTTCACAAGAAATAAATTCTTGAAAAGTAGTCTGTTATAGAAAATGTCTCTAATACTCAGAATAATTCAGTTTAAATAATCTCTGGCATTTTAAAATCCATTCTAAAGAAAATCTATATTCTGCTCTCAGCTGTTATAGCAGCATGTCTAAATCCAATGAAGCTATTTAAGTCTAAGTGAATAAACTCTCAATACACATAAACTGGGTTTGAATTATCATCTTAATAATTTCAAATTAGGTAAGATCTGACCTTGTGTAATGCTTTCTCGTTTTGCTAACATCTATAATTTATTTCTTGCTTATCTTCCTCATCCAATAGAACAATAAGTTTAATATCTGTTGTCATTAGAAGGCATGTTTGGCAACACGTAACAGCCAAGTGTCAGTATCTAGAAAGGATATTTCTATGAGAAGTGCACCATAACATCTGTGTATAAGGCTTGTTCTTGACTCCCTTCTTTTCTGGCAACATTGCTGGTTGTGAGTACTATTGCTGGTACCCACATTACCCAAATGGGTTCCTCTTCTTGGAGATCAGATGGCTCATATTTCTGTCTGATCCCTCATTCAGTAAAGGATTAGTTTTACTTTATTCTTAGAGGCCTAAATCTTCTCTTCCTTCCCAACTTCAAATCATAGTAAAAATCAGACTAATTCACACTACAGGAAATAGGGAAAAGACATTTCCTCCAGGTTTGTTCTTCAGGGACCAATACCTAAAGGCAGACATTCAGTACTAAAGACTGCAAAGAATGAGCTTCAGTCCCCAGAAGGACACGAGATCTGACAGTAGTAGGGATTAGGACAGTTTTTCAAAGTGGAGAGCTTTTATTGCTTGCAGTTTTCAGAAAAATGTTAGTAATTATGGTACATTAAACAACAAATTAAAGTACATTTAATGAGTATTGATAGAGTTAGAGGCAAATACTCAAAAGTTAAAAGAAAAAAATTAGACTCAACTTGCCCATGCTGTCCTGTACATTTGTGCTACCAACATTGCATTGTCAGGAAACCAGTGGAAAACAACAATCAAAGCAGTATGTGACAGCATAACTAGAGAGTATTATATATAACAAAAAAAAAATTAAACCACACAAAATAACAGTCAAAGCTCTGCCCTAACATCTTCCACAGAAGCTAATATTGTAAATGTAAGTCAGTAACACACTGTTAATCTTAGTGTATAACACATACTAATGGAAGCTCTACGTAACTGAAGAACAGCTGAAAACCACACATAGCTAATGCATTTCACAAAAACTTAACATATGCCATTCAGCTCCTCTAAGGTCATTTTGCTACAAAAAGCCCGATGGCAGGACTTCCAGTCTTTCTCATCATTTCTAATACTTCTCTTCAAAGTACTGTGTTCAGCCCTTGTCTCCTTAGGTTTTCATTCAATATGACAATTCTCCATGCCAACCTCCCCTCACGTCAGCCCAACCAAAGTTTCCCTTTCAGCCAGCCCATGGAGCTTGATTTCCCTTCTCTCTTTTTGCGGTCCTCAGCATAAGTTTTAGCATTCTGGCACACCCACATCTTGTCCCAGCTACTTTTGGATTAACCAGGTTCCTTCCTTCCCAACAAGATCAGTATGCGTGTATCAATGACAGGCTCTCCCTAGAAGATGGGGTTACGGTGCCTAGATCTGAAACTGCCTCAGATTTTTGTTCGGTTCCAAGTTATAAAATGTACTAGTTACAAATGAATCCAAGTCTCCGAACAATTCCATTATCCTCCTGGGTCTTTTTTTTAACACTTAAAGGTATGCAGATTGTCTCAAAGATAACAAAACACACACTCCTAATACAAACAAATATCATATCCTTTACCTAAAATAAGGAAATATGAAAATTTTTTTCAGATGAAATAAGAAAATCCCAATTTTTGTTTTTAATGATAAAACCACATACTCTTCTTTCTCACTCTGGGGTAAGAAAAAGCAGAACCACCACTTTTTCTGAAGTTTTAAAGCAAAAAACTAAAAACAACACATCAAGCTGAGTCAGGCATCTGACAGAGAAAATTTCAACCTCTATTGTTAAAGAATAGCAAAATTAGGCTGAGAATGACAATAGAGTTTATAGTGGAGTATGTTGGATAACCTTAATATCAGGGTAGTTAAACTAGAGTTGTTTACTATTGAACAAGATGATGCATGACTATAAATGTTTTTTCCCCATTTTTCACCATCATGAAAAAAGTGAAAAGCCTTGTACAGTAAATGGCTTAAATAGAAATTTTGTACTAAAACCATGACAGTCATTGGTACTATACGGATTTTTTTTAAAAAGTTTTGGTTGCAGAACATTTTAAAATTTTTTTTTTTTTTAAGGATATGTATTTTCTGTAATTTCTATTGACCATTACCACCATGATTTTATATCTGTCTTTCAACTTAGCTAAACTTGAAACGCTTGTCTTCAAAAAGGAAGGAAGGTCATTTTTCTCCACACATTTGGATTACACAATCTGTAATAAGGTGTACTTTAGGCTTAACACTTAACCTTCGTTCCACTACACCAGTCAAAATTAAAAGGCAGCATATCCTACAGACCTGAACATCAGCTTCTTCTGAGTGTATTTTCTGCTTCCCAGTGCAGATAGGTATACAATTAAAGAACTTATCAGACTAATACAAAGGTAAGTGAAGAATTAGATCACTTTTACAATCATGTGTGCAACTACAAACAATTTTTTTCTCTGGATTTTCATTCTTTTACATGTTAGTTTTTTAAATCCTTGAAGATCAGTGCATATGCTCTGTACTGTACTTCTCAGGTCCTCAGCAAGAAGAAACCAGGCAAAGGTGTCTCTGAATTGCTCTACCCAGCCAGACTTGCCTTTGGCACTCTGCAACCTGCAATTACCGTGACGCCAAGTGCACCAGTTCAGCTTCTTCCCAACCTTGTTATTTCTTTAGCAATCTTTGCAAGGCCAGAGCTGCGTGGTCCCACAGACCACCCTGTAGTAGGCTCTTTTCAGTTCCCACACTGGCAGTGCTCTTCCTTTGGCCATTTATAGAGCTGGAGTGGAGAACAGAAACAAGGGTGGGACCAGAGTCTGGTCCACAACCTAGAGCTCAGCATGATTTAAAAAGAAAAAACAAACAAAAAACCCCCAAAACAGCAGACAGGAATCTCTGAATGCTTGACCAAAAGCATTATCAGAATTCTTGTAAAAAAAATTTCCCATATGTTCCTCCTCATTGATCCTTAGAAGGGTACGTATTTTTGATTCACTGCATTGATAGCCCCTTCTTTAGACTAGAAAGACTTCATGCCATACTTTCCAGAAAAAATGGTGATTTCTATACAAAATATTTCTTTGTTTCAGTGGCTAAACTAATTTACTAAGCACTATCATCATATGTGCCAACATCCATTGTATCAGCACACATAAAATTATTATTATGATCAATATCTTCTGAAATATAAAATAATCAAAACCGTTGTTTTCATATCAGGATGAGGGATGCTTATCATTCTAGATACTTTTTAAATACAGGATTTATGTATGATTTTTTTCCCCAGACTGACATTAACTATGTTATGTTCTTCTGATGGACCGTGGTTTATTTTGGCAAGTTTCCCTTAAATTGATTGACTCTCAGTTTCTATCACTCGTGATCTTTGCACTTCTTAAAGTGTCAGTAAGGCTGGCCAGATATAACCAGTGTAACAGAGCACAATGTGTCTAGACAGATTTTTAAGCTAAGGATATAAGACCGTTTCAAAACTCTAAACATGTCTATACTGGAAAGAATGAAGATAAGATATTTGAAAAATGGTACGTCATCATTATTTATTTTCTGTCTAACTTATTTTAAAAAACAGTATTTCAAGGTTTATGTATAATACAACAACAAGTAACTTATCTGATATAATACATTTCATATCTGTTTATTCTTGGGTTCCTTATTTTATCTTTTTATATTTGAACCACTTTTCTTTTTTCAGAAATTTTAACAGAAAACATTTGGAAATTACACTGATATACCCCCCACTCTTAATAGTACCTACTATATCATTACAATCATCAGTCTAACATAGAAAAATGCATGGGGAAAAGGCATAAATGGTAAAGTTCAAAATGACTGAAAATTCTTGGGACATATGCATCTTCAAATTGTGTAAAAGAACCCCTCAAATATGGCAATTTCAAGCTGTTAACTTGCTTCCTGTGAGAACAGCTCCTCTAAATCTAATTTCAAACTGCTTGGAAAAATGTTTTCCCTTGAGGGACTATTACTGTAACCATGAAACATGAAGATTTAGGACCTCTGCATCAAATAATGTGAAAGAAGCCAAAACACTGTCCATCCTGCCAGCCAAGAGGAAGAATGGAATGAGACGGCTGTGACATCTGCTCACTGCTTCCCTTCAACCTGTAAGCAAGTACCTATAGGTGGGGCATAAAAAAGTACAGCTGAGGGACAGGCTGTTGCTGCACCAGGTAGTTCCAATCTTTGTAACTGCTGTTGAATTACTCAAGGTCATGGAAACAGAAAACAGCTTTTTGATTAATAATGACTTAGAGAGAAAACCAACACAACCACTCCACAAAACCAAAAACCAACCAACCACCTTCCCCATAGACCTTTATTAGACAAGCCACCACTTGGGCTTGTCTACAAAGTTGGGCTATTGCAGTGTCACAGATAAAGCACAAAAAAGTTCTACTGCATTTTATGAATTAGCCTAGGGGTTCCTCAAATGTTTTCATAGACCTTGTGCCACATCTTAATTAAGAAATTGTCTGATATCCTAGTCATGATCGTATAAATACCCCTTAGCAACTACAGAAACAGTGTTTGTGGAAAAAGTGGTATTACAAAGCAGAATATTTTTCTTATTTTTCTCTTCATAAAGTTAAGTAGCTAGAAAGGAGGAACATAGCCTGAACTAGAGAACTATTGACCTCTCTCTGGACCACCACAGTGTTCCACAAGCCAATCTGGGAACATCTGACCTAGTCCATTCTCCTGGCAATCAATGATTTGCTCCCCATAAAAATAATTTCTATGCTTAACTCTTTTTAATTAATTTTGACGAAAGCTGATATCAACTTTCTCTAGATCTTAATGTCTGGAACCAATGCTAGAGCTTGCCCTCACAGTAAGACTTCCAGCTGAAAAGTTAATTTCCCATTAAGCACTTTTTCTGCAGGGTGAACAGTATGAAGTTATCTTACAGAGTTTATGCACCAAAAACGAAGCTACAAAAATGGTGTCTTATGAAAAAACAGAAGATGCCTGGTTACTAACCATTTGTTCTCATTTCATTCAGGAAACAAAAGGAAAACAGTAGTGAAAATAGGTGTGTAGGGTACCTGAATTCCACAGAAGGGTCTTGAATCCAATACTTTTTTCTTCCTAATTCTCATCTGATATAGGGCAAGCTGTGGTCACATAACTTTAAAAAGATTTGAGATGATGACAGATGAAGAGATATAGCTATAGCTCTCTTCCTTTATTAAGGGTTTTTTTAAAAACTGCATTCTGTCAAGGACCAGATAAAACTGGAAAGCAGAAGCAAGATAGAAAACTCAGAGATTAAATTGCTTGCTTTTACAGAATAGGTAAGAAAACAAAACAATGCTATTGCCTCTTTCTTCTTTCTGATAAGTCCTGTAACACTTTCCTTTTTAGAGTCTCTCAAATCTTTAACTACTCCCATATCACAACATCACCAATGACATCAAGAACTTAAAAAAGAAACTTAGTACTAAACATTTTCTACTAGGCAAAAAAACCCCCAAAACTTCACTCAATAGATATGAACAGAAAGATGAACAGAAAGGGATTATTTACCCCAAACTGACATGGTGCTCAAAGACCAGGAAATCTGTGCTAAATGGAACAACTCTGTAACTCGATCATCCTTTATTCCAGAAAGCTAAACTTTATAAATACATGCCAAAACAAAAAGTCATATTGTTTGGTTTGTAATGTGAAAATTATATTTGCATCTTTCAAGCAACTGGAATTAGGACAGCTGTTTGTGGGGATAACTATGGGCTTGAACAAAATCAGTGTTTTCCTTGTTTAAGCTATTTGAGTCACATTATTCCTGTGCTGTGTGGCTGTCTACCACTAGCTTAAATTTAGGATTGAAAATTCTTGGTAGAATATATCATTTCAGATAGACAGATTTGGTGAGAAATGAGGACAGAAAATGTATTAAAACGAAAAAAGAGTTGCCTTTTTTCTGCTTTCTTTACATCCCCTTTTCCTAATCCCCTCTCAAGAAGGCTGAGAGCACTAAGAAGTTTCATGATAAAGGAACAACATTTCCATGGGCTATGATTTTATAGTTGGCTATGCAGTTGTGTATTTTCCTTATAAATATGTACTGCATCTTCAGCTGGATGAATCTAGTCAAAAAAGGAAGCAGGATTTACACTAAAATTAGTTTTCTCCAAAGTATCAGAATAATGAGGTAGAAAGCAAACAAGCCCACAACCAACAAAAAAAACTACCAAACACTGTAACAAAGGCAAAATACCCTGGCAAACATTTTGAAGTATGACTATTTTTACATGATTTTTGAGGGAAATGTTGTAAGATAATTGTGATAATTGTTATAGCTGCTTAAAATAGAATAATGCATGTACGCTTTTCCTTTAAAGGCAGCTCACACATTCGATGCGTAATCTCTGCACACCCCTACCTAATCGCTAGCTCTGAACTTGAAAAGTAAAAACCACACATATACCTGAGGAAGGTGCATTAAAACAAAACAAATAGATACATTATACTAGTATTTCTTAATACAGTAAAGTTCAGTTCCTAAAAGGCTTTACTTGCAATGTGTATCCTGTCTGCACATGCCCTAAAACAGTCTTCACTAATAAAATTACAGGCTAGTTTTCCAGAGAGTGCTTGCCTCATGCAGCAGGCAAGTGGCAGATGCAGAAAAAAAAAAAAGAATAGAATTAAGTTTCACGGATAATCTCAAAATCAAGAGTGGGATATCATAATTTATTTTTCTTATTTCTTCCTCCCCCTCCCTAAAAAAAAAAGAATACATTTGGGAGAAAAGAGTCTTAAACACTTTCTTCCAGGCAGTAATCTTTTCAGCTGTTTTCCCTATGCATTCTGGAATTGATCTTTTTACTTCCTCATAGCAGCAATAAGAAGGTTTAAAATGTGCATGATCATAAATGAATTTGCAAGGAGCATTCGGACTGTAATAAGAGAGAGAACTTACTGTCTTGCTGATGTAATTTGTGCTGATATTCATACACTGGAGTCCTTCACTATTGCAGCAACCTCCACATCTGTAGATGGATACACATGGGGGTTTAAAGAAGGTGTTTGTAGTTGCTCCAAACTCTTTTCCCACATCCACACACACTTCACGTGGCATGCACTGAGTTTTTCTCCATTCAGTATCAATACCTGCCAAGTTATAGGGAATTTCATGTGTTATAATGTAACTGTTTAAAAACAATACTGTCCTGCAGTAAATTAGTAGGATTCTTTTTTAAAGTTTAGAACCAGAATATGCATTGCTAGAATCATACCCTTTATTCAGTGAAATGCACATCTCTCTGTGTTAACTTCTAGGTAATTTTTCTTCTTCATAGGGATGTGATGTGATGGAGCAGAAGAAAAGTCACAGCGGAGCTAAGAAGGAACCTAACAAGACTGGGCAGATGTTATGACACAGAATCATAGAATTATAGAATGGTTTGGGCTGGAAGGGACCTTTAAGGGTCATCTAGTCCAACCCCACTGCAACGAGCAGGGACATCTTCAACGCGATCAGGTTGCTCAGAGGCCCATCCATCCTGACCTTGAATGTTTCCAAGGATGGGGCATCTACCACCTCTCTGGGCAGCTTGTGCCAGTATTTCACCACCGTCATCGTAAAAATTTTCTTCCTTATGTCTAGTCTGAATCTACCCTCTTTTAGTTTAAAACTATTACTCCTTGTCCTCTTGCAACAGGCCCTGATAAAAAGTTTGTCCCTATCTTTCTTGTAAGCCCCCTTTAAGTATTGAAAGGCCGCAACAAGGTCTCCCTGGAGTCTTCTCTTTTCCAGGTTTAACAACCCCAACTCTCTCAGCCTGTCTTCATAGGAGAGGTGCTCCAGCCCTCGGATCATCTTCGTGGCCTCCTCTAGACTCGCTCCAACAGGTACATGTCCTTCTTCTGTTGGGGGCACCAGAGCTGAAGGCAGTACTGCAGGGGGGGTCTCACCAGAGCAGAGGGGGAGAATCCCCTCCCTCAACCTGCTGGCCAGCAGCTCAAGCTGTACATGTCCTTTCTGCTCTGACTGGAGTGAGTCTCACCTTGAGTGAAGTCTAAAGTAGTGCTGCATATCTCCGCAAAGTAATTTTATCCGGTCCCACACAGTACTTCACTTGGCTACTATATATTAGAAACGTTAAATTTGATGCCTACACAGTTAATGTGAAATTAATTTTAATACATCTTACTTTGTTAACTCCAAGAGTATAACTTAAAGCAAAAGGATATTATTTAACAATTATATACACCGTATGATTTAATCTGAAAGGTGATACTTGTGCCCAGATTACCTACGCTAATTTGGGCATACATTTTACATCGTGTTATACAGCCTTTTACCAAATACAATCTTACACTAAACAGCCATGAGACTTGCCAGTAGTACAGGCTCCTTTATTCTCTCTTGGCACCAGTTTTTGCTAGTCTATTCAGTAAAAATGGGAATTCATCTAATGTGTACCAGGCCATCTGAAACACTAAGAGGTATTGACATATTTGTTTGAAAGCTGTTTTTCTCTTGTTTGAGCATAACATCATGACAACTGTCCTCTTGTAACAGGAAAAAGCTACAAGTGGATTATTTGGCATCCTAAAGCAATAACACGTAAGAGAAGAAACCATTACCAGTCATGAAGTAATTGCAGAAAATGAGCAAAAACAGTCCAATGAATCCAACTATTAGTGCCTTCTTGGCTTTCTGCAAAATTGTTACAGCCTCTACAAAGCAGGATTTCTTATACCTGAAGACAAACACTTAACTTCCTGTATCTACTGAGCAGAGAAAGCAGTCTATACCTACTTAAAATGGATGTACCGAAAAGACATCTACGGAGCAATTTATTTAATTATGGAATGTTGACTGTCTAAGATTTTATATTATAGACACAACATCAAATCAAACTGCTGAGGCTGGTTTACTGACAATGTTTAGCTTTTAAAATATTTTTGACGCAACTGAGATGCCTTCAGATTTTAATTTATTGCGTGTTAGAATGCGTTTTGTGTTCTGTACTTACTTTTAAGGATCTCTGCATTATAGTGTGCTGCGGCAAATTTCAGGGAATCATCTGATCTTGTGTCAAAGCTGGAGTGTTCCCTGTTGTGTTGCCAACCTCCTTTCCTCAACTGACATTTGAACATTTTCCAATATTCTGGGTAAAGTACTGTCATGAGTTCATCCACACTGGACACAGACCGCAACTGCTCTTCCAGGTCTTTGCTTGCATGAGCCTGTCAAAGTAACATTCAAGATTAATTACTTTCTCTATTACATAAGGTTTGCTGGAAACTAGCCTGAAAAACAACTCATACATTGTAAAATAAAGCTGTGCTCAAAGAGGTCCTCGTTATAAAAACTGCTTTTGTCAGTCAATGCCAACAATACTATACTGACAAATAGTGAAATGTTTTGCTTCTGCCGCTGATTCCTTATCATACCTGTAGACCAAAACATTTGAGAAAGGAGCTACAGAATTAAGCCTGTACAAGTACAGCTTGCAGATTAAAAAAAAAAAAAGGAGGCATTTTTACCCTGAATGAAAAGTTTTCATGATAACACTTTGAATGCTTGAACGCCAAAATACTTAAATGATGTTCATGTTATTTAATATCACGTACTTTTAAAGTAATACCAAATTTTTGCCCATTTTCCCTTTGTCCAGGAAAACTGAAACACCCAAAAATGCAAAACCAGTTAAATTAGAAAAAAGAAGAAAATAATTCATGTTATTTTGAACCTTTTCAGGGAAAATCTTAATAAGCAAATTTTATTATAAAGCACTAATCCTTCATTCAGTAGGAGCCAAGGACTTTGGTACCTTTAAGAAGCTGAACTGCACACTCCCTCACTGCTAAGAGTTTCAACTGAAACTCTTCAGGACTCCAAGCACTACACTCCTTAACTTGTTGTTTCAAGAGTAGTCTCAAATCCTGTAATCTTGCTTTCTTATTTGCTGGCTTTTACGCAAACTCATTGCAATTGTATTTTCCTAAAAGACTACGACTCAGTTTAACATTCTAGTTTCTCACTTACCTGGAAGATTCCTTTGTCTTCTCAGATGAAACAACATATTGCACCAAAGGACTACTGTTATTCCTTGCCCACCCTTCTCATCCATGAATTGCTGACTTCCCAAAGGGAAGGGCAGTAAGGAGAAAGAAAAGTATTGAAGAACCTTTAGCCACCTTCTCAGCCTACGTGGCCCTTAGATGGCAGTATGAGACACAAAATATAGAGCTAGACTTTGTGAAAAGTGTCGAGCAACTGGCTGCAGACTGTACAGTTTACTACAAAACTATTGCTGTAGTCCAAGAAACTCCAGGCTGTAACAGTGTAAAACGTGTCTAAAACCAGAAATATGAAACTACAGAAACTGAAACTTAAGATTCCCTATCAAACTCCTCTACGAACAAAAAGGAAATTCTTTCAATTCAGTGATCTTGAACATTACACAAGTACAAGTTCTGAACTAGATCACCTGAATCAAAACTTCTCCTTGCCTCACAAACAACTAAAAGGGTACAAAACAGCACATGCTGTCGCATCCACTTCCTTACCAGGTGTCAAATACAGGAGAAACGCCTCACAGTAAGGCAGATTCACACAACTAATTTCAGTTACAGTTAAATATAGAAGTCAAACCTAATACAGATTTCAAAGTAATTTTATACGTCAAAGTGTTATGAAGTAAAAAAAAAAATTGTTTTCGCTAAAGCCTCACTAACCACAGTGTCATGACAGACTACTTTGTCCTGGGAGATTTCAACAATCAAGCTATCAGTCTCAGAAATGCGCTTATTCAGGACTTCATCTCTTTCCTTGCCTCCATAGAAAGGGTCATCTCTGACCCAAGCCACCCAGCAAGCAGTATATTTTCTATTTTCTTTCCTTTTTTTCAGTCGGTTAAGGGGTTGGGTTTTGTGCCTTTTTTTTTTTTTTTTTTAACCACCACCACTCCCTTCATAACTGTTTACGTCTGTCCTTTGGCTGGCCATTCTACTGTTTTTGTCATTGTTCCATATTATCAGTGTTGTCCTGCATGATCACCTGAAAACACTAGAAGTTCTATTCTGGAGAAAGATGTTGACTAAACCTTTGACTAGCCAATCTCTACAAGGTGATTTATGATATTGAGCAAAATAATAACTTAAAAATACAAGAATGAATGGAGAATAACCATAAAGACAAGCTTGCTTCTTTGGATTTCTTCCACATTATTTCCCGATGAACAGGGGAAATGAACAAATATACATATAAATAAAGCAGTAAAGCTTGATGACAAGCGTGCTCTCGCTATTATTTATTTAACTTAGGAACATTTTATTCTATCAAAGTATGTCTTTCACAATGTGGTTTTCCATTACAGGGCATATCCAGTTTTCCATAAAATTATAGCTTGCAAGGGGAGGGACAGGATACCAAATAGACTCTATATCCATTAACAAAATCAAATCTATACATTTTCCATACATTACATTGTTTGTCTTTCACATGTCCCCAGTGTCTGCCTCTATTATTAATAACAAAGCTCAGAACACTTAATATTTGGCAGCATGCTTGACACATAATTGATGGTGCAATGTGCTATAATGGTACTTTACACATCTGCTCCGACTATAGTTGTCAGCTCATTTCATTTTCAAGGATTTTGTTGACAATTCTTAATAGAAAAATGCTGTCTATAAGCCCTTCTATTTCTGTATTTATTGACTGAAATGTATAAAAAAATCAAGTAGTTAAATCTGAATGTTGAAACAGTGTGCAGGCAAATGGGAATATTGCAAAAAAAAAAGTATGTATAAACACTTAACTTGGATAATATTTTATTTCAATTTTCATGTATTTCAGTGGTAATTTTTTGGAAGTTGATGCCAGTAAAAAAAAGAAAATATCCTAATTAAATATCTTAGCCATAATTAAGAATTAAAATCAACTTTTTTGTCCACCTCTACAACCATGCTAGAATAGCCCTGATTTTGAGCTCATATGCACCAATTTGTCACTAGTAAACCTGAATGACTGTCTGCAGTTGCAAACTTTTAAGTTACTATTCAATACAGTAACAAAACAGTGCCTTACAGAAGTAAAACGTTAATAGTGAGCACAATTTTTTATTCACGTTATCTTAAATTAGTAAGACTACTGCAGTTGATTTGAACTAAAACAAAACCTCATGAGAACAGCAGAGATTAGAATCAGTCTCTGTTCCAAAGAGCTTACAAAGCACATCAGACAAACACAAAAAGAATGAAAGTATAAAATAAATAAAACAATCTGAACTATATTATGCTTTAAGTGACCTCTATTCATTCTAGTATTTTAAATATCAAGAATAACACCAGGAAAAGAAAACAAATAAATGGGGGTGTGTGTGCGTGTGACATGGGGAGAATGTACAAAGCAGACAGGCAAGGGAAAATAAATGAGATTGAGGAAAGATTTGAAAGAGAATTTGTTAAAAACAAAGAAAAAAGGTGTTGGTTATGAGGATAAGTTTAAGACTACAGAAGTTTCACTTGTATAATATACATCACATTTTTTTCTTTTGTCAGGAACATTTTTTGAAAGAAAGATGCATGAACTGCTAGAAAATCATCCCAGGCTTCTATTATTTAATATTGCTCTCCTATTTATAAGTACAAGTATTTATGCTGAGGTAGGTAGTGTAAAATTTCCATTTTAAGGGAAATTCAATTTTTATGTAAGTCAACATTTTCCAGGTAATATTTTATTTAGATATTCTTAGAAAATTCTGAAAAACATATCTAAGATTACGGAATTGCACAAAAGCACTTATGTTAGGTCCTTCAGTCAAACATTTAGCTGCTGCTGAGGTTCTGAAACACGCTTCTTGGCTGGTGCTTATTCCTCAAGTACCTGCATTCCTGAATGGGTCTCAACCTTCCCTAATAAAGTGCCAGTACTTTCATGTATTCAATGGGAATTACTCATGAAAATATCCTTTTCTGATCTGAGTCTGATTTCCCTGGGAAGCAAAGAGAGAGAAAAAAAAAATTCTAGTTGCTTTCTAGAGCAACTCCCTGCTCTCCTGCCTGGTTTCTTTAGAAGCTCATCTTAGATGACCAGTTCTCTCAAGTTTCTGTGGACTTGGGCAATTAAGACACTGCTGTAGGTAATATGGTATCTGATACACTTAGAGATGGTAATGCCACAGTACCATCAGAGAAAGCCATACGATCTAGACACGCATGCATGTGTGCATAGAAATGGGAAAAGAAAAGATGGCAAATAGCATTCCTGACTATGATAAAAAGCAGTTTTGAGAAAGATGGTTGGTGGTACCTTAGTCAGACCCTGAATATCTGTGACCTTTTTTGAAGCAATTTCACAACTAGATTATAGTAACAGACAAGGTTTTGTTCTCATGCGCTTCAGCCCCGTCTTTGAAATTTGCATTGTTTCACAGCAGTAGTCTTCAACTTGTGTTCATAAATCCCTGCAGACTATTTCTAAGAATACAGCAAGTCATAATTGCAAAATAAAATACAAAAATCAATCCTGTTGTCAATAGACTTGATTCACTATTCAGGAGCTTGCACTAGATGAGCCCACAAATTAAAGGTCAAAGGCTGCACAGCAGTCATGGAAATTTGTGGGGTAACCTTTTGCTGTCTAGGCACAGCTGCATCTAAATTGTTTAACTGATTCAAAGACTCATACTGAAGCTTCCAGCTAGTATTACAAATAGATTGGGAATCAATAAGGATTTGAATTATTGCTGCTGAAAGGCTTACATCTGATTAAATCTTGGATACATCAGGCAGTGCAACCTGTACCAGATGAGATTTGTGTATTATTTTCTTGGTTGTCCGCAGCTACAGTGATCAGTGGTGACAAACGCAAGGATCACTGCGCATGACCAGAAGAAAGCAGAAACCATTTGCAAGTAAAAACCATTTGTAAATAAAAATGATTTGTAAAGTGAAAATAAAGGACACATCGAGATGATTGCTGGGTTACCAAGGTGGCCAACAGACACAGCAATCCGTCAGAGACAGCTAGCAGCATGAGAACGCCAGTGCCCTCCGCCACACAACCACTGCAGCTGACAAGGTTCTGGTGCCAATCGTGTGTGTCCCAACTATGAGGCATCTGGGTGATGCCACAAGGCAGTTCTGTAGAATTTGACACATTATAAAAACATTCATTTTGAGTACTTTTAAGTGACTTTTAAATAACATTGAGGGAAGTGAACCATGGAATTCTGAAA